GAGATGTGCGTTTGGAGCAGTGCGGACTGTCTGAGTGTGCAGAGTAGAGTGGGGTCACCCGTTTAGTTGATTTGTAGTTTGTGTTGTTCTGTGTGAGTGGTGGTGCCGCACGGGCCGCTCTCCCTCGCGGGGCGTGGCGCTGGTGGGCCGGGGGCGCGCGGTAGGCGTACGGGGCCGCGTGCGCGTGGCCCGCCCGTAAGCGCCGTGTGGGGTGCCCTGGGGTCGGGCAGCGAGCTACCCCCCCGGGACGGCGCATCGCGAGTGAGGCCCCGGGGTGGGGCAGGTGAGGGAGGGGGCGGGGACGGCCGGGCCCCGGTGAGCCCTGGGTGAGGCCCGCCCCCCCCCCCTCCCTCGGGCTACTGTGATAAACACATCACTCGTGGGTTGCACTCTCACACCTCTCAATCATGCTCACACCGTTGAGCCGCGCCAGACCTCACGCCGCGTCATTGCCGTCGCTGCCGCCACCGTGCTCCTGCCGTGCTCCTACACTGCCGCACCGTGCTCCTGCATGCTCCTGCCGCCACCGTGCTCGGGGTCGTGTCCTACACTGCCGCTCCCGCCGTGCTGTCGGAGCCTGCAGGGGTGCTTGAGAAGCTCGGCTTCCGGAAGAAGGCCAATGCCGAGGAGGAGAGCGACGAATGCCGCGACCCCAGGGCGCCGATGCGGGCGCTGGTCAACGGTGCCGTCGACGCGGTGGTGAAGCGCGTGCCTGGCTCCAACATCGCGGGCAAGGTGCAGGGTGGCCTCGAGGCCAAGGCGAGCACTGCTCGCGTGCGTGTATCGGTGAGGGCGGCCGGTTCTCACGGATGGCGCCGCGACGCACAGGTGAGGAAAGGCTCTGCAGCAGCGGGGCGTGGCCCAGGCTGATCTACCTCGACTTTTGCGAGTCGAAGGCGTTTGCGGCGGAGCTTCGACAGCACTTCGCGACGAGGGGAGCAGCCGGAAGCTGCATCGTCGCGTGGTCGACACGCGCGCTTGACAGCGCCTGCTTTCTCCTGTGCAGCGCATTCTTCACGCACTTGGCCGCGTGCGTCCCGCGAGAGCGGCAAGGCCACCCCCCCGACATCAACTTGCTTGACTTTGACCGCGCCATCGCGCAAGCGTTCGAGGAGGGCAGGCAGGCGATGGAAGAGGAGTACGAGTGCCGGGACCTCGACCCAGATCCCGGGGCGTCGCTGGCCCCTGGGCGCAAGCCGGGAGGAGGGATGCCGGTGCTTTTGGCCAGTGGATGACAGGTGGATGACAGGATGAGGTGGAGATCCTTCGAGGCTGCGTGATCCTGCAGGCCAGTGAGAGCGTGGGTTTTTAGCACCGAGGTCCGAGCCAGTCACGAGTCAGAGAGAGATTTTTAGCAATACCAAACAACTCTAACACTCACACGTAATTTGGGGCCTGGAGCCCTGTTCACGCGCGCGCGAGACGTGCAGACAGGGTTGCCAGGTGAGAGCGAATGGCGCGGTTCACGCCTCGCACAACAGAGAGAGAGATGCGCTCTGCATGGTGGGACATAAAAGAGAGCGAGTACTTGGGCGAGTAGGCCGTGCGGTCAACGCTGCCGCGCGCGACTTTGCGCGCGAGGCGGCGCAGCTTGAGAACGGCGGTGGGCGAGAAGCCGCCGCCGAACGTCTCGTGGAGCAGCAGGTTGAAGTTGTTGCGCTTGACACAAAGATCGCGTCGTGGTAGAAACCGCGATGCGCCTTGACGTAGCCGTGGCCGGTCTTGTGGGAGAAGGGTTGGCTGGGCTGCCCGCGCGCCTTGCAGCCCATGTTCAGGCGGCGGGCCTTCTCTTCGGTGTTGCCGAAGGCGTAGGAGTGGCCGACGGAGGCGGGCGTGCCGCCACTCGAGGGGTTGCCAACGCCCGTCGAGGAGGTCTTGAGGAGGGGCGTCCAGAGCTTGATCTCATTTACTTCATCGCATCCTCCTGGCCCCGCATGGGGTTCTGCGAGGTCAGTCTTGTACCCCTCATTGTACTGCCGGGTGAGCTCTGGTTTCTCCTTGTCGCCGTGCACGACCGGCGCGTTGGCCGGGGCGCGCATCGCGTCCGCCCAGGCGGCGAGGACGCCGTCGTGGGGCCGCCGGTGGTGGGCCTTGTTGTAAAGGTAGTCGCCGAAGAAATCGACTGGCATGCCCCGCTCGAGCGCGACCCGAAGGGTGGGCAGCGTGTTTTTGTTGCGAGTCAGCCACAGGCCGACGGCCTCTCTCATATGTCGTGTATCTCGTTGTGACGTGCGACTGAAAGCGCGGTGTGAGCCAATCTCTCAATGGACTATGCTCTATGGAGAGTTCTTGGAGAGGCTGGAGAGTGCGGTACCTCTCTCCTAGCTTGTATACTTAACAATCGTCGCATGGAGCGCCCCATATGGACTGCAATGTTTTGCGCCAGCGCGTACGCCCGCGTCCTCCGCTCCCTCTACTCAATAAACGTCAGGCGGTCACCCACCTTCGTCTTCATGAGACGCTCGAGGATGTGGCGCCGCTGCTCGGTGGGCAGCCGCTCATAGATGGGCCGCAGCTCCTCGATCAGCACCTTTGCGTAGGCGTAGTCGTCGTCGCCGACGCCGCCCTGCGCCGCCGCCTTGCCGCCGCCCTTGGACTCGCCCTTCTTCTTCTTCGAGGCCTTGCCCTCCCCGCCCTTGCCGCCGCCCCCCTTCTTCTCCTTCTCCTTGCTGACGAAGCTCGGCGTCGACTTTGCAACCTCGCGCACGATCTTCTCCAGCGTCCTCATCTCGGGCTCCTGCGCCGACGTGACGCCGCGCTTGATGAGCTCCTTGAGCTTCTCCGGCGCGGAGAGCGGGGGCGCGTCCTCGTCGCCGAGCCGGATCTTGGAGAGCACCTTCAGCACCGCCTCTGGGGGGTTGTCGACGTCGATGGGCGTCATGTCTGCCGCGGCGAGGTCGCGGCAGGAGCGTTGGCACGAGGAGAGCATGAAGGTTGGGTTGAGGAAGCACTCGCCCGTCGCAGCCCAGTGGCCGCACTTGCTGCTAAAGGCGGGCGAATCCTCCGCCTCCTCGTCGGCCGGCACGGGGGCGCACTGCTGCTTGGACTCGGCCGCCCGCTTGGACGGCGGCGGCGGCGGCGGCGGCGGCGGGAGCCGCTTGTCGGGAGACCTCTGGTCGGCGGCCGCGGGCGCGGGGGGCGTCTGTGCCGGCTTGTTGCGCGGCGGCGGCGGCGGCGGCGGCGGCGGCGGCGGCGGCGGCGGCGGATCGTTGCCGACGTGTCGCATCTTTGCCGGCAGAGGCGCGGGCGGCTGCACTGTGGGCTTGCGCGCCGAGGCGTCGTCCGCTTCGTCGGCAGCGTCGCCCGCTGCGCCCTCGGCGCCGCCGGCGCTGGTGATGGTGCCGGCGAGCTCGTGCCGGAGCTCCTACTCAACGACCGGTTGAGTCACCGCTTTGATGGCTCAAGAGGTGGCGCCGGCGAGCTGTGCGAGCTCCTCGCTGTCGCTGTCGATACCCACCGCCCCCAGCCAGAAGCCGGCGGGGTCGTCGGTGGGGGGCGGCACGCTGTCGCTGTCGACGACGTCCACCGCGAGCCGGAAGCCGCGGCCGAACTGGTGCTCCACGAGCCCCGCCTAGGAGGAGATGTGGGGAGATATGGGGAGATATGGGGAGATATGGCGTCGACTGGTGCTCCACGAGCCCCCGCCTAGGAGCACATCGGTGCATTCTTCGAGCAGCGCGTCCATTGCACAGCCCTCGGCTCCTCCCAGCCAGCCCCGCCTTTGCTTCCGGGGGCGGAGGCGAGGGCGGAGGCGAGGGCGGCAGCATCGTCGCCTGCGCCGCGAGCGGCGAAGGAGGCAAGCTGCAGGCGGAGCCCTCGCGGCACTTCGCGGCCGCGTCGGCGGCGATGGCGGCGACGGCAGCGCTAGACGCGGTCGGCGGGGGGCTGTTGCTTTGGCCGCCGCTGCTCGCGTCGGCGTGCCGCTTCGAAGGGCCGGCCATCTCCGCCGCGGGCAGAGGCGGCGGGCTTGGCCGCATCTCTGGCGTCCACGCGGGGTTGAGAGGCGGCAGCACCTTCTCGCCTTGCGGCGCGAGCGGGTCCGGCGCGGGCGGCGGAGGCGAGGCGCGCCCCCCCGCAGAGCTGCCTCGCCTGTTCGAGGCGTCCGCTGTGAGTCAGCTCACGAGCCCCCCAACACCCCCCCCCCCCCCCAAACCACCCACCCACCCACACCCACACACATCCGCACCCACTTCCCCACGGAGCTACCTCGCCCGATCGGCGGCGGCTACCTCGGCTACACCTCGGCGACACCTCGGCGACACCTCGGCGACACCTCGGCGACACCTCGGCGACACCTCGGCGACACCTCGGCTACTCTCTCGGCTACTCTCTCACCCCATCGGCGGAGGCGCGCTGTAGCTCTTCGGGTCCGGCATCCCGTCCTCGGCGGGCGGCCACAGCCCTCTCTCGCGCAGGTCGGCGTCGACCCGGTCTACCACCGCCGCCGCGCCTGGAGATATGGGGAGATATGGGGAGATATGGGGAGACATGGGGAGATATGGGTCGACTACCGCCGCCGCGCCTGGAGGAGGCGTCTGGCTCTCCCCTCCATGCGACAACGCCACGTCGAGTGTGCACAGGGGTGGTCAATGAGAAGGTGTGTGGTGTGGGCGGGGGAAGGGCGGGGGGGGCTTAGAGACTGAGGGAGCGGGAGGCTCTGTTGTCTGTCTGCCGGCACACCCGCAGCGGAGAGGGAGAAGTTGCCCCACGAGTGCGCGGCCGCCTGCGGCAGAACTCGCAGCGAGAGGCCGAGCGCCGCCGCCGTGAAGGAGACGCCGTGCTCCTCGGCCGAGATGCACTCGCCTGCTACAGCCGCGACGCGTCAGCTGCCGACTGCGAGGCGCAAGCCGTGCAGTCGCGGAGAGGCAGACAACCTACGCGGAGAAGGGGAAGGAGAAGGGGAGAGTTCGGAGGCAGTGTCGGCGGCAGCTCGGCCGGGTGAGGAGGTGCTCGCCGAGCGAGTCGCAATCGGCGAGGGAAGGCCTCCCTTGCCTCTCGGGCGACGCCGCGTCCACCTGTGCATTCATTAGTTCTGTATGAATTGAGGGGCCTCCCGTGCCTCTCGGGCGACGCCGCGTCCACCTGTGCATTCATTAGTTCTGTATGAATTGAGGGGCCTCCCGTGCCTCTCGGGCGACGCCGCGTCCACCTGTGCATTCATTAGTTCTGTATGAATTGAGGGGCCTCCCTTGCCTCTCGGGCGACGCCGCGTCCACCTGTGCATTCATTAGTTCTGTATGAATTGAGGGGCCTCCCGTGCCTCTCGGGCGACGCCGCGTCCACCGTGGGGAAGAGGTAGACCAGCGATCCCTGCGTGGCGAAGACCTATAGAAGGTTCCTAGAAGGTTCCTAGAAGGTTCCTAGACGAGCGATCCCTGCGTGGCGAAGACCATGTTTGCGAGGCCCGAGGCGCGGCTGCCGATGAGGACGTCCGCGGCGCGGAACGACTGCGCCGTCTTCTGCAGCGTCTCGCCCTGCTCGGCGTCGTACACCGCGACGCGGCGGACGCCGAACCGGCTGGCGAGGAGCGACTGCAGCTCCTGCTCGCCGCCGAGCTGCATCCAGAGGGCCGCGCCTTCGCGGGAGATATGGGGGAGATGTGGGGGAGATGTGGGGAGATGTGCATCCAGAGGGCCGCGCCTTCGCGGGAGATATGGGGGAGATGTGGGGGAGATGTGGGGAGATGTGCATCCAGAGGGCCGCGCCTTCGCGGGAGATATGGGGGAGATGTGGGGGAGATGTGGGGAGATGTGCATCCAGAGGGCCGCGCCTTCGCGGGAGATATGGGGGAGATGTGGGGGAGATGTGGGGAGATGTGCATCCAGAGGGCCGCGCCTTCGCGGGAGATATGGGGGAGATGTGGGGGAGATGTGGGGAGATGTGCATCCAGAGGGCCGCGCCTTCGCGGGAGATATGGGGGAGATGTGGGGGAGATGTGGGGAGATGTGCATCCAGAGGGCCGCGCCTTCGCGGGAGATATGGGGGAGATGTGGGGGAGATGTGGGGAGATGTGCATCCAGAGGGCCGCGCCTTCGCGGGAGATATGGGGGAGATGTGGGGGAGATGTGGGGAGATGTGCATCCAGAGGGCCGCGCCTTCGCGGGAGCACGAGAGAATGCGCGGCCTACGGGCGTGAGCTAAGGAAGTAGTTAGCAACTCACACGCTCATATTGGGAGGGAGCACGAGAGGACGCGACGCCGCGTCTCGGCAGGGCGCGAGAGCGGCGGCATCGCCGCGTGGAAGACCGCCTATGGCGTAGCTCCTCCTCCATTGAGGAAGGAACAGACTCCTCCGCATCGCCGCGCGGGATGCCCCGCCCTCTGCAGCAACAGCGGCGTGCGGTGCGGGAAGCGCAGCGCGAAGAGCGACGAGTCGAAGACCCGCCTATCCAAGTCCTCACGCCAGTCAGTCATGACTTGTGATTCAAAAGGACGGCGAGCCGAAGGCGCACGCCAGCGCTGGCGCGTGCGGTGCAGCGGCAGCGCGCGGCCGCGCTTCTCGGCGCCGGCGTAGGGCGGTCGCCAGTCGAGGAGGAGCAGCCGCTCGAAGATGTGCCGAGGAGCGGGGGCGGACCCGTTCCACACCAGCAGCGACTCCTCGGCGAGCAGGCGAGCCTAAGCAGTGAACGACACGCGCCGCTCGTGAACTCGTGTCTCCGCACCAGCAGCGACTCCTCGGCGAGCAAGCGCGAACCGCGCGGGGGGAGCCGCGAGGCAGCCGCGAGGAGCGGAGCGCCTCGACGGTCGGGAGCAGCTGCGAGGGGACGAGCAGCCTGCTGACACAGTGTGACGATCAGTGGCTAGTACTCGTTGCGAGTAGCTGCGAGGGGTGCAGCAGCCTCGCGCGAGAAAAGTCGACGGAGGACAGCGCACTAGACAGCCGCTCCGAGCCACTGCGCCGCTCCTCCGCCTGCTCCGCCCCCTCGGGCGGCTCCTACACGCATGCATGCATGCGCTCGTCCACTCGTGTCCATCCACTCACCACTCCGTGTCGACACGGCGCCGTGTCGAGAGAGAGCAGCAGCAGCAGCAGCTTGGACGCAAGCTCGACGCGCAGCTGCCACCCGTCCGCACCGCCCGACCGCACGTCCATCACGGCGAAGGTGTCGCCTGATCCATCATGTCTTGGGTGTGCACTGAGGCCCGACGGAACGCACGCCCCTTTGCGAGAGCGTCGCCCTCGAGCCACTTCTCGCCGCGCGTGCTCTCCGAGTCGAGAGCGTTGTCCGCGTCCTTCGCGCCGAAGGAGGACGGCAGGAAGCCGGACGCCGTGTGCTCGCCTGCGTGGGTCAACAGTCCACGGTCCGTGCTGCTCACTTGTCGCGGGCAGTCAACCGCCGGCGTGCTCGCCGGTGAAGAAGAGGCACGCCGGCCTGCGCAGGTAGAGTGCGGTGGGTCTCCGTCCCGCCAGCGCCACCTGGAGGAATCCGCAACCAACTCCGGCCCTGACGTTGGTCCAGACTCCTCTCCCCGCCCCTCCCGCGCCACCTCCCGCAGCATCACCAGCCGGAAGGGCTCCGAGGCCGCCTCGTCATACGCAACCCCAGAGAGCGGGTCGACGAACCGCCCTCTCAGCGGCTCGGCCGCGGGGCCGCGCGAAGGCGGAGGGCCCTCGAGGGCGGCGAGGGCGCGCCGCGCATGCGCGTATGTGATGGTGAGCGCCGAGACCTGCGGCTCTCCGCCCGCCGTGTTTCCGGAAAGCGCCGGCGAGTTGCCGAAAGGGTGCACGCCTCCCCACCCCTCCACCACCGACCAGCGCGCCGCGGCGCAGCCCGTCGAGTTTGTGGGCAGGCCGAGGTCGACCGCGCGGATGAGGTGGTGCGACGCGCGGCCCCAGTTGCGCCGGGCGGCGTACGCGGTCCCGAGCTCGCGGTGCGCTTCCTGCGCCGCGGGGCCGTCGGAGCCCCAGGCCGACAGCGCCTCCTTGAGCGTCTCGACGGCCTCGCCGACCTGGAAGTTGCGGATGAGGACGCGGCCGAGCTGCGTCTGGACCCGCTGCGATGCCGTCATGCTCAGCGCCGCCCGGTACGACGCCACCGCCTCCGCCGGCCGGTGCGTCTTTGTGTAGAGCGTCGCCAGGTTGATGTGCGCGTGGTCCGTCGGCGGCTTATTGGGCACGGCGGCGAGGGCGAGGTGGTAGTAGTGCTCCGCCTCAGCCCAGCGGTCCGTGTGGTACATCGACCATCCGAGGTTGTTGAGCACAATGTACTTTTGGAAGTTTGGCGGGTTTGGAGAGACGGCGAGCACGCGCTTGTAGTACGTGATCGCATCCGCCCATCGCTTCTGCTGCTGCAGCCTATCCGCCTCGGCGAGCGCGTTGTTGGCCTCGACGCTCCACGCCGTCTCCCCCTCCGACGCGGCCAGCGCAGAGGCCAACCCCGCGAGCCGGCACAGCCTCAACATCAGCGCCCGCAGGTTTTTTTATTTCGCAAGCCTTCGTTTTTTTATTTCAAGCAGAGAATGCGTAACGACGCTGCTAGAGATGCCTTTCGGGGCCCAGAGATAAAACTTCTGATGCCATGCGTGACCTAGTAGTGTCCCCAGCTATGGGCGTGTCCACGTTGGAGCCAGGTGTGGTGTGGGCGCGAGAATAGCTCCGCCGTTCATGGAGGCAACCGATGCGAGTCGACTGGTGTGTGTCGTCGTGGTTTCGTATCAAGAATTCTCTCTCTCTCTTCAAGCAGACTTCGTTGTTAATAGGAACAAGCGAAGGCACACACAACATGACACCAAA